GTGAGTGCCTCCAGTGCTGCATCAGTCTGTTGAAAGATTTCAATTTGTATTCCATCAATTCCTGGAGCCTTGCTCTTTGGCAATGTCTTCTTTGCATCTTGGACTTATTCCTTCAGAATCCATTGGCTCTTGGTCATATGCTGTTTCTTGAAATGGTTGAACATCAACCAATTCTTTTTGGTACAGTTACTCGGTGTATTCCGTATTCTTTTGATCTTCTTTTGAGGCTTTTAATATCAGTCCATATTTTGCACATAGAATCTTTCAATATTTTAAATAGAGGCTTGAGTTTTTTCTTCAGGTCATTCAGCTTGAGAAATGTTGAGCAAATACTTCCCTTTTGAATTTCTAACTACAGGTCTTTGCACATTTCATTATATATATATACTTGAGTTTGTCTTCATGAACTGACCTTTGAAATTTTCAGTTCAGCTTTTACTTCCTCATTTCTTCCATTTGCTTTAACATCTCAATGCTGGGAACATGTTTCAAACTGTCTTGTGACATCCATTTTGGTCTTTTTCTTCTTTCTTGTTTCTTAATGCTATTTTGCTTTCTTCCGGTATGATGTTATTAATGTCATCCCACAACTCCTTTGGTCTTTGATCATCAGTGTCTTTATGCATCAAATCTGTTCTTGAGATAATTTCTAAATTCAGGTGGGATATGTTTGAGGTCGTACTTTGGTTCCCGTGTATTTGTTTTAATTTTCTTCAGCTTCATTCTGAAGTTGTATATGAGCTACTGATGGTCTGTTCCACAGTCTGCCCCTGGCCTAGCTTTGGCTGATGATATTGAACTTTTCCACTATCTCTTCCGATATATGCATTCAATTTGATTACTTGTGGAGTTTGACTGATTAGGTCCATGTGTATAGTAGTCTTTTTTTAAAAGTATTTGCAATGACGAAGTCATTGGTCTTGCAAAATTCTGTCATGCAATCTCCACTACTGTTTCTACTGTTACTGCTATTATGTGCTGTCGAGTTGGCTCTGACTCATAGCAACCCTGTATAGGCTTTCTACAGAGCGGCTGTTGGATTTGAACTGCAAACTACCCTTGAGGTCCAGTGCATTTTCCTGCAGTGCCACACCAGACTCCAAGACCATAGTTTCCAAATCTTTGTTTCCAACTTTTATATTACAATCACCAGTAATTATCAATACATTTTGATTGCATGTTTGGTCAATTTCAAACTGAAGAAGTTGGTAGAATTCTTCAATTTCATCACCACTGGTTTTAGTGGTTGGTCTATAAATCTGAATAATACTGATATTAACTGGTCTTAGTAGACTTATGGTTATTATCCTATCACAGGCAGCATTATAATTAAAGTTACATCTTGAAATGTTCTTTTTGATGATGAAGGCAATGTCAATCCTTTTTAATTTGTCATTCTCCTCAGAGTAAACCATATGAATGTCAGAATCATAATTGCTAATATCAGTCTATTTCAGCTCACTAATACCTAGGATATCAATCTTTATTTGTTCTATTTCATTTTTGACAACTTCCAATTTTCCTGAATTCATACTTCAAACATTCCATGTTCTGATTATTAATGGATGTTTACAGCTGTTTCTCCCCATTTTCAGTTGTGCCCCATTAGCAATTGAAGGTCCCGAAAGCTTTACTCCATTCATGTCAACAGAGTCAACTCTATTTTGAGGATGCAGCTCTTTGCCACTTGTGTTTTGAGTGCCTGCCACCCTGAGGAGGTCATCCTCTGGCATGTACCATATTTGACAGTGCTTTGGTACAATTCCTCATGTTTCAATTGTCGATATTCTGGTGTTGACAATGTTCCACTACTATTCATAAGGTTTTCAGTGTCTTATCATTCAGAAGAAGTCTGCCTCTCCTTCTTCCTAGTTTTTCTTAGTGTGGATGCTCAGCTGAAAACTTTCCACCAGGAGGTACCTTGCTAGTATTTAAAATATTGGTGGCATAGCTCCCAGCATCACAGTGACATATACGTCACCATAGTATGACAAGCTGAAAGATGTCTGGTAAACCTTTATCACGATCCTATTTAATATGTTGCTAAAATTCTTACCCAGAGCTACTAGGCAAGAAAGAGAAATTAAAGGCGTATAAATTGACAAAAGATACTCTCTCTATTTGTAGATGATTTGACTCTATATTTAGAAAATTATTGGAACTCATTGAAAGATTCAGAAAAGTGGCAGGGTACAAGGTCAACATACAAAAATTTAGTCAAATTCATTTACAATAATAAAGAGAGCTCTGAGATGGAAACCAGGAAAACAATACCATTTACAATAGCCATCCAAAAGATATACTCAGAAATAAATCAAACCAGAGAAACAAAAGACCTATACAAAGAAAAATACAAAGCAATACTAAACAAAGCCAAAAGAGACCTACCAAAAACAAAAGCAAAAGCAAAGAATGTATGGTGCTCATGGACAAAAGGCTTTACATCGTGAAAATGTCAACACTACATAAAAGCAATCTGAAGGTTTAATGTAACCCCAATTCAAATGATAACAGCTTTCTTTAAAGAGATGGAAAAACTAATCACCAACTTTACATGGAGTCCTGGTGTGGTACTGCAGGATAATGCGCTGGACTGCAAGGTCAGTCTGAACTGCATGGACGGTGGTTCAAACCCACCAGCCACTCTTTGGAAATCCTATACAGGGTCACTATGAATTAGAACCAATTTGATGGCACTTAACAACAACCATGGGTCGGAACCGACTTGACGGCACTTAACAACAACAACAACAACAACAACCATGACTTTAGATCAAACAAAAAGAGTCTCTGGATAAGCAAAGCATTATCAAAAAGGAAGAACAAAACACGAGGCCTCTCACTTCCAGGTCTCAAAACCTACTAAGCAGACACAGTATTCAGAACAGTCTGGTAATGGTACAATGAAAGGCACATAGATCATGAAACACATTTGAGAACCCAGAAGTAAATTCATTCACCTATAGTCATTTGATCATTGAAAAAGGGACAAAATACATTAAATGTGGGAGAGATCGTCTCTTTAACAAATGGTGCTAACGAAACTGGAAATCCATTTGTGGATGACTGAAACAAAACCCTTATCTCACATCATATACAAAAATGCATTCAACATAGATTAAAGACCTAAATGTAAATCCTAGAACTGTAAAGATCATCAATGAAAAAAGAGGGACAAACTTAGGTGCTCTGAACCATGGCATAAATACACTATCAAATATAACTGAAAACACTCAAAACAAAAAACAAAATAAATGACTGAGACCTCCTAAAAATTAGACATTTATATGCATGAAAAGATTTCACCAAAACAGTAAAAAGAGTACCCACAGACTTGGAAAAAAATGTTGGCAATGGCATATCAGGCAATGAACTATTATCTAAAATTTACAGAGCACTTCATCACTTCATCAAGAAGACAAATAATCCAATTGAAATATGGGTAGAGGACTTGAATAGACATGTCACCAAAGGAGATATTCAAGCAGCCAACAAACATATGAAGAAATGCTTGTGATCATTAGGCATTAGGGAGTCTTGGTGTGGTGCTGCAGGATAAGCACTGAATTGCTAACTACCAGGTCAGAGGTTGAAATCCACCAGCCAATCCTCAGGAACCATATATGGGTTCACTAAGAGTTACAACTGACTTGACAGCACTGAACAGACAGACAAAAAACCCACAAAGTAACATTTGTAGCTGTTGTTAAGTGCTGTCCAGTGAGTTCTGACTTACAGCGACCCAGTATAGGGTTTTGGAGGAGCTTGGTTGGTAAGTTTGAACAGCAAAACTTGCAGTTCAAACAAGCCTCATGGCCCAGACCTTTTCCTTTAGCATCACCAGGATTCCTTTTGTTGTTGTTAAGTGCCGTCGAGTCAGTTCCGACCCATAGCAACCCTGTACAGGGTTTCCGAGGGTGTAAATCTTTAAGGGAGCAGAAAGCCTCATCTTTCTACTGCGGAACAGCTGCTGGTTTTGAACTGCTGACCTTAAGGTTCGCAGCCCGATTCGTAACCACTACGCTACCAGAGCTCCTAGGATTCCTTTAGTGGTGGTGATGTTGTGTGGTGGAGTCAGTTCTAACTCATAGGGACTCTGTACAGGGTTTCCGAGGCTGTAAATCTTTACTGGAGCAGAAAGCCTCATCTTTCTCACATAATTTCCTCCAGGTTCATCTGACCTTTGGTCAGTCACAAAAGGACAAATATTTATGAGACCACTGCTGTATAAAGTTTAGAAAAGATTTTTCTTATAGAAGAAACATCCTATGATAGTTACCAGGGTTGGGAAGGAAGGAAAAATTATTCACTGGCTAGAAGGTAGACATTATGTTAACTTGGGTGACTCGGAAGGCAAACAAGAGGGGGATTGGCAGAGGAAAAATGAAGGTGGAGGAAAACACATGGAAGAATGCAAGAGTTAAAGTGAATAGATGTAAATATTGTTACCAGATGGTACAGGGAGGGGATTGTAATCATTGTAATGAAATGAAGTATACGATTTCTTGAATGTAAAACTGAAGATCTGCTCTGCAAACCTTCACTAAAAAAAAAAAAAAAAAAAAAGGAAAAGGTAGTTAATGTTTATTTTGGTTTTAGTGTTTTTAAAAAGTTGAAAAGTTAGGGTTGGCAAAAGAACCCTTGATTAAACCCTTGGTTTTGTCTTCAGTGATCAAATTCTTAGAGCATGACTTTCTCTTACATGGACTTTACAGTTATGCTGAGGCTTACAGTCAAGTATATGCTGAGTGAATGCTGATGGTTGATATTGTTGTTGTTGTTATGTGGAGTTGGTTCCAACTCATAGTGACCCTGTACATGGTTTTCGAGGCTGTAAATCTTTACGGGAGCAGAAAGCCTCATCTTTCTCCCACAGAACAGCTGGTAGTTTCGAACTGATGATCATGAGATTAGCAGCCCAAGTCCTAACTACTACGCTATAAGAGCTCCTTATAGATACTAATTATTTTCTTTCTTCTTCTTTCAAATTCAACACCTACTAGCTACAAACAATAAATTTAAGACTATCCTGATATTCTTTATTTGGATTAATTACTGCCAGTTATCTTCTATCCTTTGTTCTAGTCTCCTTAAGAAAAGTCATAATATTTTACTTTGTTATCATTATTGTATTTGCTGTTTTGTTTCTTAATAAGATAAACTCATCTACCTTTTCAGAAAATGTGCTATGAATCTAGTGGATAAAACTCTCTTTTTATTTGAGTTACCCATAAAATCATTTTTGGTAGTTTTACACACATATAATAATTTGCTAATGTTGGCAAACTAATAACAGTTCATTCTCTGTCGAGGTAACAAGTCATTATTCTTATCTCAAATGTTTAATGTAGTAGCATTTGTTTAATGTAGACAAATATATGTATGAACTGTAAAGTGCAGGCAAGTGCCCATTCATGTATGCTTTTTATCCATTCCTCCTTGTCACTGGACAAAATTAGAGACTTCAAATACAGTGGTCAAAATCATCTTGTGTTTCCATACTATTCCAAAAGGTATAACATGAAAATATCCAAGGTATCATCAATTCAGTATAAGAATGTGGAGTTGAAGAGAGGAATAAATTGACTAATTTCTCCTATGTTATAAACATCAGAAATGGGTCTCCTTTATCATTTGGTGTTTTATTATGATTAAAAGGGATTGATTATCTTAAATCAACATAACCCAATGTGTTACTATAACTCTAAAACCTTTAAAAATTAAGTTAGCTAATTACATATAGAAATACACACAGAGACACATACACGAGAAGGCTTCAAAAGTTCATGGAAATCTCCAATATCTTTCAATTCCATTTTCCCACAAAAATTTTGAAGACCCCTTGTATATATATTTTATTGTCATTCTCCTTCTTTTAAACTGACCTTATACTTTACTAATCATGATGTCCTTCTCCAAGGACTGGTCCCTCCTGATAGCCCTGAGACAAAATACATGAGATTAAGTCTCACCACCCTTGATTCTAAGGAACATTCCGACTGAAATTTCAAGATAGATTGGGCATTCTTGAGGTGTGTGTATTCAATATTTTTCTCCAACACCGTAATTCAAAAGCGTCAATTATTCTTCTGTCTTACTTATTTGTTGTGTAGCTTTTGCATGCATATAAGACAAATGAAAATATCTGGCTTGGGTCAAGCACACCTTTGTCCTCAAAGTGATAACTTTGCTTTTGTATCCAATTTACCCAAAGTCATTTGATTTCTCAAATGCTGATTCCATGGGCATATACACATATTCTGATAAAATAAAAGAGCTACACATCTGCTTGCATGTTAACATTGTAATGCTGCCCTATGCTATTTTCCCATTCCTATCGAATTTCTCACTGCTGTAGAATTTCCCCACTCCTATAGAATGTTTCTACAGAGACTAGCACTGTACAAGAAAGGTAGAGAAATGTAGGCAGTAAGGGTGAATTATGTTTTCATTTTTGGTAGTGAAGAGACATAGGACTAAAATGGGCAGTTGAGGATAGTTCAGGATCTAAGAAAGAATTACTTTTAACAGGCACTAAATCAACAACAGTTCTAATTTCAAATTATCCCAATAAAAATTATGAGAACAACAAACTCAGTACATACCAATCCATTGATGTTGATCATTATGATACTTCCATACTCGTTGCCTTCTTTACCTTCAAGATCACAGTCAGATGATGCTACCGGCAACAGAACAAGGATCAGGGGTGGAATTCCAAAGATACATCTAAAAGAAACTAAATCCAAAATTAAATAAGAATAAGTGTATGTTATATGTCATATTGTATTTATATGTATGTTATGTGTCATATTATATTTGATTATGTTCTTTCAATGGACTTGACCACTTATTTCTAATAAAATTTTTATCTATGTTTTGGGTTTTAGATGGTAGGGGGTAGAGAACCTTAAAAATGAATGCTAGGTAACAAGAAAAGTGAGACATTATTAGGGTATGTAGGTTTCTTTCCCTTTTTTTATTTTGAAATTATTCTTTGGGGAAGTGCAGACTAGCAGAAATTAAAAGATGTATATTCAGTTGACCATTTGAGGTCCAGTTGACTCTGACTCACGGCAACCCCACATGTGTCAGGGTAGAACTATGTCCTTAGGGTTTTCAATGGTTGATTTTTAAAAAGTAGACTTCAATTAGTTCTTCCTAGGCACCTCTGGTGGACTCAAACCTCCAACCCTAGGTTAACAGTTGAGTTCACTAACCATTTGTGCTATCCAAGGATGCAAAGGTATGATGATGGTTAATTGATCCTATTGAATATGCCTATAAGAAACGAAACTATAAGTAAGCAAGCTACATACTATTGAAATTTTAGAATCTCTGACATGTAAATTTGTGTTTATATAAAATTTGATGAAGTCCGGGTATCAAATTGCTCTCTGACTACCAAGAAAATGTTTTCTATAGTATAGTATAGTACAGTACAGTACAGTATAGTTTTGTATAGTATAGTATAGTTTTGTATAGTATAGTTGAATTTCATTTGGAAGAATTCTAGGAACTATATTGCAAGTATAACTCAGAGTTGTGAAGATGTAGCAAGACATTATGGCAGGTTTGTGAAGAAAGAGCTCCCTGTACAACCAAATTTTAAGGGTTTTGGGAATAAGAATGAGACAGCACTGTGATTACGTTCTTTTACTTTAATGGTGGTGGTGGTGATATGCCATGGAGTCAGTTAGACCCATAGCAACCCTGTATTGGGTTTCTGATGCTGTAAATCTTTACTGGAGCAGAAAGCCTCATCTTTCTCCTGCAGAACCACTGGCAGTTTTGAATTGCTGAACTTGAAATTAACAGACCGACTTGTAACCAGAGATCCTTTTTACTTTAATAATGGACCTTAAAGTGTTTACCCTTTCAAAAACAGTGACAAAGATTACATTTATATTTTGGGATATCTCTACCTATTTTTTTTTTTTTTTTAAGTACCTTTCTTCTTTAAATGGCAACTGTGTCTCTAAGAGCCCAGAGACATATACTCTGTTCAGTACTTGAATCTGACTTGTTGACGTGTGTGAAAAAATTCAATAATGTAATTTCTGGCAGTAATAATATGCTGTATAAGGAGATATGTAGGGACAAGACCACTGAAAATGTTGCTGGGAACTGTATGATATACTTGAAGTACCTGAATGATACAAACTATCTTTACTTTTTGAAGACAGGAACACAAGATGTTGCCATGACTTGTGTGGGCAACAAGCAACAAAATCAATAATGATATACTTAAGTCTTTAGGCCTCAGGCATAATATTAGTTCCTTGGATTTGAAAGAAGGTGGTTTGATTTCTTAATCCGAGAAGAAACATATATAAAAGGTTTTGCAGTCAACAGTATAGCTGAATTTCATGAACTAATCTCTGAACTAATCTCTTAGCGACTCACAGGGACTCTGTATAGGGTTTCCGAGGAACGAGGACAATTCTAGGGAATATATTGGAAGTATAACTCAGAGTTAAAGAAAGATGCTACAAGACATCATTGCAGGCTTATGAAGAAATAGCTCCCTATATAACCAAATTTTAAGGTTTCTGGGAATAAGAACTACATCAGTAGCTACTAGTGACCCACATTTTTAAAAATGAAGTAGACTAAATGGAAGATGTCTGAACAAAGATAAATCCTACATCTCATCTTCAAATGCGATTGATCTTTGACATACTGAGAGAACCAAACATTCAAGAGTGAGGCATGAAATCTATATATAGCTCTCCTGCTAAGTGTCTACATACAGGATAAGAATCAAGAATTCCCTTAGGAAATTAATACATTGATGTTAGTTTTCTTTAATTGTGTAACTACCATGTATCAGGCAGGCATTGTTAGGTGCCTTATCCATATTGTTTCTATGTGTAAATCTTGCAAGTTATTATTTTTGTAATCCATAGATCATGGTGGTATATCTGGATTTGAATCCAAGTTTACTGATGCAGTAATATTTGATCAGGAGTGGCCACAGTCTTTTGATAAGCATGTAATCATATTAATACTGAACTTCCCCCTCTGTCTCCTCTCTTGTGATTCCTTCATTCTGTAGCTTCTCAAACAATAATCAATTGGGTGGTGCTGTAGGATAAGCACTGGACTGTAGGTCAGTTTGAACCTCAAGGTCAGCAGTTCAAACTCACCAGTCGCTCTTTGAAAATCTGAATGAGTCCAAACTGACTTGAAGTCACTTAACAACAATTACAGGTAGTCCTGGATTCATGAATGAGTTTTGTTCTGATAACTGTGTTGTAAGTAAGTTCTGATGTAAGTTGAAAGCCTCATTTTTTTTTCTTTATTATCAGTATCTTTATAAATTTGATTTTCATTTGTCTATGGGGGTTGGAATGAGAATGACTACATCAGCAAATTAAGCTCTACAATATTGTATATAGTACATATTGCTAACAATAAGATGGAAAATGAAAAGATAACAGACAAGCAAGCCTAAGTGTGGCTCATAGTGACTTTAGTACATTGTAAATCAGGGACTGTCTGATTTATTAGTCTCTGACTTTGTAATCAGATTTATATAAATTATATAGAACCAAACTATTTTCTCTTACATCTTTTAGGTTCCCTAATAGTATACATAAGGAGCTTTGGTAGCATAGTGGTTATGAGTCAGTCTGCTAATCTCAAGGTGAGCAGTTTGAAACTGCCAGCCATTCCATAGGAGAAAGATGAAGCTTTCTGCTCTCGTAAAGATTTATAGCCTCAGAAACCCTATACAAGGTTGCTCTGAGTCTATGGCATACCACCACCACCACAATGGTATACTTAGGAAGGAATACATGATAAGAGAAAAGGCATATAATTTAAAATTAGCTTTAATAGGAATATAATAAACCTAAGTAAACTCTTAGATGAAAGAGGGAAATGGTTTCCTTTTTATACAAAGTGAATCTATTTTAATTTTATGTTTTAATAAATGCTGTTGCTTTATTTTCGGTGAGCACTGGATATTCTCTCCTTTTCACTTGTTTTGAAAATATTGTTGCTAGCTTCCATTAAGTTGGCCCCCAACTCATGGTGACCCCATGCACAATGAGATCGGATTGTTGCAATCCGCAGGGTTTTCACTGGCTGATTTTTGGAAGCAGATCACCAGGCCTTTCTTTCTCAGTCTATCTTGTCTGGAAGCTCTACTAACAACTGTTCATCATCATCAAAATATCTACTGATAGGCAATGGTGGCTGCTCTTGAGGTGCATTGGCTGAGAATTAAACCCAATCCCTTTCCTGGAATCCACTACCTAATTGTTGTTGTTGTTGCTACATGCTGGCAAGTGACCCTATATAAGGTTTCTGAGTAGCATCTGGTGAGTTTGAACCACCAACCTTGTGGTTCAAGCTGACCTTGCAGTGCAGGTCTTTATCCCACAGCGCCACATCTGGAATCCATCCCCAGCATTAGAGAGCTGAAATGAAGTGTTTCCCAAATTCAATTCAATCTAGTTCTATATTGAGTGGCATTTTATGAATGTTTTCACATCTTACGAATGTTTTCAAATCATGGTTTGGTGAAGACTAAACTATGTATTATGACTAAATGAAATCACATAATTCATCTGGATTCACAACTCTAAAACACAAATTGTTCTTTTGGGAAAAAAAAGGGTGTTTTTTGTAACCTTTGTTGTTGATGAATAAGTTATCCAGGTAAACTTGTTGCTTTTGTTATGTGCTATTGAGTTGATTTCAACTTATATCAACCCAATAGGACAGAATAGAAACTGAACCTTAGGGTTTCCTGGTGTTGCGCTGTAGAATAACCACTAGATAACAAAACACAAGGTCAGCAGCTCAAACCCACCAGCTGCTCCTTGGAAACCCTACACAGGCCGCTGAGTCAAAACTGACTTGACAGCACTTAACAACAACAACAACAATCTTTACAGAAATAGATTGCCACATCCTTTCTCCCACAGAAGTACTGGTGGGTTGGAAATGCAGATCATAACTTTTAGGCCACGAGGCAGTGCAAAGAAGCTTTGGAGTATGAAGAATTGAAGAATGGATTTTTTTTTTTTTTTTTTGTCTTGGTATAACAATAAGGCTTATGTGACTAACTTAACTGAATGGTAGAAGCTATTTAAGCTTTACTGGCCTGATTTCTAAAACATGAAATTTTAAATTAAAAGATCTCTCAATGTGTCAACAAGACGAATTGATACAGTGGCTGCAACATTGGGCTGAAATATAGCAACACTGTAAGGCTGGCTTAAGGTAGAGTTTTGTCCTGTTCTACACAGGTTCCATATGAGTCAGAACTACACCAAGGCACTGACAACAACAATTTGTTTCCCAGCTCTCAAACACCTGAATTCTAAGAATTTACAGAAACTCTTTTGATTTGGAATTGCCTCAGGGACAATAATGCAAACACAGGCAGCAACTCACACCCACATCTCTCAAGTGCCCAGTTTTCACTAATGACTTGCAGTTTGGTCTGTAATTGTAATTGAAGTTATTTCTCTACACAACACAGAGAGAGTAACCGATTATCTAGTTTGAGGGTGCCTTTCTACATTACTGTCACAAGGGGAACGGGACTCTATATTTTGTTTTGCTTATATTTGTTTCATTCTACATAGACTCCTGCCTCTCCCCCATCCCTGAATTTTTCATTAGGTTACAGAAAAGTCAAACCATAAGGAATAACGAAAGGCAAGTTTAGGCTTGTAGAATTGTCTTTAAATCTCCTCAAGGGATTGAGACTGGAGAATTTGCTATCACTAGGGAATATGGTTAAACTAGAATAATGGTTGGCTAAAACTTCTTGTTGGTTTTTAATTTAAGCCAAATAATACATTCATTCCCAACAGCTTAAATTATAGGGTCAGAGTGAACATAAATAAATTAGTTTTTGCAGTTCATGAAGTCCATTGTTTCATTGGTCTTTAAGAACTAGATGAGATTGGGCACATTCAGTGTGATATGGCCGTAGACAATCTTTAAGAACGATAAATGTGTGCTGAGTGTCCATTATAAACATGATTTGTATTGGTTTCCTGGAATTAAGAGTGAAATGATCAAGGACAGGCAGGAAGAAAAGACACTAATTGAATAGATTTGTTGTTGTTAAGTGCAGTCAAGTTGGTTCCGACACATAGTGACCCTGTATAGAGCTTCTGAGGAGCGACTGGTGGACTTGAACCACTGACCTTGTGGTTCAAACTGACATTGCAATTAAGTGCTTATCCTATAACACCACACCAGGACCCCAACTGAATAAAAAAGACTTGGTTTTAATACTTTAATATGAATAATTGGTAAAATCACATAGGTGAGTAAGATAAAAAAGTTAAACCAATAAACAGTGAAGAATAACAATATATTATATAAAAATTAATTTTAAATGAATTTGATTATGTGTAGATAAATGGGTCTAATATTTGTTACAACCAATACTAAGACTGGATAAAAATTTCCTTCCACAAGTATCTTGCTAAATACTTAAAGACATTCTACAGCTATGCATGATATTGTATGCAATATTTCACTTAATTCCATAACCTCTTCTTGAGGTTGCTGTTGCTGTTGCTGTTAAGCGTCGCCGAGTTGGTTCCGACTTAGCAACACTGTATAGGATTTCCAAGGAGTGGCTTGTGGGTTTGAACCATCACACTGTGGTTCAAATCGACCTTTTGGTCTAATGCTTTTCCTACAGTGCTACTCCAGGACTCCGTACTGCTGATTATTAATATTTTAAAGATAAGATACTGGGACACAATGAAAAATGTTTCTAGACATGTACTACTGTGTCTAGTAGAAAGAGCTAGAATTCAAATATAGAACTGTTAAGTTGATGATTCCAGAAATTGATCTCTTAGCCACTGAGCTATATTGTTGTTGTTAAGGGCTGCCAGGTCAGTTCTGACCCATAACGACCCTGTATAGGGTTTCTGAGCAGCGACTGGTGAGCTTGAACCGCTGACTTTGTATAGAGCTTCCCCTGTAATTACTTCTTGGTTCAAATGACTTTGCAGTCTAGCACATTAACCCACAGCAGCACACCACGACTCTACTGAGCTATATAGCTTCCTATAAAAATAACTGTGTATGTGTTGACAAATGGGATACAGAAAGTAATTATGAAACTGGAATATAAACTCTTATTTCGGGGGAAAAAAAAACTCCTCTAAATATCTGCTTTCATTACACTAGGCTATGTATCAGGGGTGAAAGCTTTCCCGTTTTTGTTTTAGATATTTAAACATTGTGTGGTGCCATGTTTATTTCTCCTTTTTACCTGTTTGGTGTATCCAATTTGGTGTATTATATCTCTCTCTTTTCTTAATCTGTTTTTCCAGCTTCAAATATAATTACCTAAAGTAGATAGCCAATTGAGTACCAAATAGTAGGTCCTCAACTATTTCAACCCCCTGTCCCCAAAGTAATAACAAAACAAAAGGGTAAAATGTAATTCCATTCATAAACTGAAATCTCTTGGAATAAAATACAGCCAGTCATTCATATTATAATCATTATTATTAGAAGTTTAGAATTCTAATATTTGTTTGCTAATAGCAACTCATGGTGTATAATTAATGTAGATATAGTTACGGCAATAAAAGTGATTACTTTTATTGATTTGCATCTCCACATAGGACAGTAGGTTATGTAAGGATTAGAACCAGGATCCCAACAAGAAGTAATTACAAGGGAACTATAGGCATTGTAAAGAAAATGGGAGCTTCAAAGAGTTCACAGGAAACTTTAATTACTTTTTAATTCTATTTTCCAAGAGCTTTTTGAAGCACCCTTATACAATTATATATATATAAATTCCTGGTGTGGTGCTGTGGGTTAATGCACTGGACTGCAAGGTCTGCTTGAACCGCAAGGTTGGCAGTTCAAGCTCACCAGCCACTTCGCAGAAACCCTATACAGGGTCGCTATGAGTAGGAACCGACTCGAGAGTACTTAACAACAACAACATACATATATGTGTGTGCATATATATACACACACACACACACACATATATATATAAATTACTGCGTTTGTGCTTCTTGCTGATTTATATTATTTAATACATATGAAAGAAGAAAGTGTTCTTTTGATCTAATGGAGTAACTGGAGAAAACACACAGATTAGGTATCAGAAGAAAGAACAATTTGCACGATATTCTGCTATTCTCCCCCGCCTTCACCTTCTTTTGCTGAGAAAGTACTTACTGTACAACACTCCAGCTTCCTTTATCCGAGTGTCTGAGCCTTTCCTGTCACATCCCTTTTCCCCCTTTTTCTTCCAGTAAAAGCTTTAGCTCTTTCCACTTGGCCAGACGGTAACCAACAGAATTTCGCTTAAAAGAAATTTATTTCGTTTAAATGAAATATATTAGATCTCAGTGAGGTTCTAGAATTTAGAGTTACGCCTATTTAATCCTGCTTCCAATAAGTGCGTGCATATAGGGGAAAACACACACACACACCCAAACCTTAAAGCTGGCTTTAAATCAGTGCCAGCCCCAGGATTAGGGTTCCCAGAAAAGGCGCAAGGTACAGCCCCAGTCGGAAACTCCCAGCCTCACTGAGGGGGGAAAACGGGGTTTTCCAGGGACCTGTCCCTGTAGGGTTTAAAAGCGCTTCCCGTGGGAGCTTCGCTTTCACTTCTGCTGGGAGTTCGGAACTACAAAAGCCTAGCTACTAGCGGATCCCCAGGCGCCTGTGAGTAACTTGGTGCAACCAGGGGTAAGGGCATGGCGGGTTGGACGCCAGGTTGGGAGAGTGCAGCGCTGACTGTGGGCAGAGAGAAGAACAAAACAGAGAAGCACTTGCGACCTGCTGCAGGCTACCACCACTAAGCAGAGTAGCAGCTGCAGCGCTCATTCTCTGAACAGAAAGCAGGCGTCCGGGACTGTCTAGCAGTCTGACAGGCGGTGAAGCTCCGGGTGCTAGTAGCTATAGGCTGCGGTGCTCAGGCGCAGTAGACTGCGGCGAAGCGACAGATCCAGTGCGCTCTGCAGGTACAAAGTGCAAGGTCTGGCTGTTCCCGGACGCGCCTGGCCACCAGGGCGGGCAGCGCGCCCCAGAGTACCCCCTCCACCCACCCCCCGTGTGCCAGGAGCGCTGCTTGTACGCCGGCGAGAGACAAACGTGCTTACCATGGAACATGGTCTGCGGGAGGCGGGCTTAGTCATGATGACCGCAACAACTGCAGCAGGAGCAAGCTCTCACCGCCCATAGTCTTTTCCCTGATCCTGGTCTTCCGCAGAGTTTCAAGGAGTCCGCTCTCTGCTGGGCCGAACTGCAGCTGGCTCCTCTCACCCACGCCGCGCCTTCTGTTTCATCCATCCCAGGGGGGGCGGCACATACCACGGCCGGGCTCTGCGCTTTGCCTTTTCCATAACTTCCGTGGGATCGGCAAGCAGTGTACTTTCAGTTTCTGCTTTGCGCTTGGTCTGCAGGTTCGGTCTTTGGGTTCGTCACGAGAGCACCTTCACTCACCTTCTCTTCGGCATCTTCATCTGCCCTTAGCGCTTTGTGTACACCTGAACCAAAACCAGAGGGGGGCGCGAATTTCCAAAGTACTCCAGGGGAAAGCAGCTGGCCTTTTTGAATCACAGTGAATGGGGCCAAAGACTTTCTAGTTGACTTCTAGTTTTGGCAACTCTAGGCGACTGGAACCTAAAAGCACTGGATGCTAATATGTCCGCAGAAGCCACAAATGTGTAGGAGACAAGCTAGGCTATTGCAAGTAGGAGCCATGGAGCAGTATCCTCAACTCCTGCTTCAGATAGGCGAACAATGCCAAGTAGGCTTGTAAAAAAAAAAAAAAAAGGAAGTGAAGTGAAGCATGTCACACCCTCTACTTCTCTGACCTCTAATCAATTTTTTTTTTCTTGGTCGGCTGTATGTACATGCACCTGCCCAAGTGGGACCTTAAAGGAAAACTGATCCTTTGAGTCTATCTAATGTGAAGTCTAAATACTTGAGTGAGATCTTAAAGGATGACTAAAAGGAGCTCTGGTAGCGTAGTGGTTACGAATCGTGCTGCAAACCTTAAGGTCAGCGGTTCGAAACTACCAGCTGCTCCGCGGGAGAAAGATGAGGCTTTCTACTCCCGTAAAGATTTACACCCTCGGAAACCCTGTACAGGGTCGCTATGGGTCGGAACCGACTCGATGGCACATAACAACAACAATGTGAGAAATGCTATCTGTAGACCTGAGAATCAACCCCCAGATTTAGTGGAAGGTCCGCACCCTGTCTGTAAGAGCTAGGTTAACTATGACTGGCCAGGCTGATTTATCTGTATTAGTTAATGCATCAAACATGCTGATTTTTCTGAATTAGTTAATGCATCAAATGGCCCATTTTGACTGTGCCTCTGAGGTGTTAATTTTTAGGTCTATATTTCCGAAGTATTTTGTACTTTAGTTTGGTTTCTGGTGTTCTGAAACTATTAACCTACCCAGCTTCGATGAAGGCTAGTAATGTGAAGTATTAACAACAGGAGCAATAACAATAGCATGTATCTAGAATTTTGCTATGCTCCTGTAAACATTTCATATATATCAGCTCATGCAAAACATTATAGAAAGTAGACACTTCTCTTATGTCTACATTATGTGTGGGAGTGGAATCTTACTTTAGTAACTCTCCAGAGTTCACTAAACTAACTAGTTACAGAGCCTGGCTACAAAGCAGCTGCTTGGAAGCCCTATGTTAGTGATTCTGGGGAACAAGTCACTAACTTAGACATAGAATCCAGGAAGGCACCGATATCAACGTGGATATATCTTTGCCACAGTATGGCAAGCTCAGCAAAAGTTTCTGGAGTTTGTGCCATCTAAAAATGTGACCTGAGTAAGAATTAAACTCGGGATGGTGATGGGCATACCAGAATCTGTTATGGTGTTAATACAGGGCTGGAAGAGAGAAAATGCCAGTGAATTAGAGAGTGAGACAAAGTTGCTCAGGCCTGAAACTTCATCTTTGATTCTCTTTTATTCTCACTTGTTGCATCCTATTAATTGGTGTGTTCTATGGACTTTCTCACTAAAATAAACCTTGAATCTAGTCTGCCCACGGTCCTTTTTTGTTGTAGACACTTAAAGGAAACCATAATCTGCTCCCTTTCAAGGGATAGTTCAGATTTTTTTCTTGCCCTAGCTTCCACTTTCCTGAGATACAGATGATCAGACTGACTCTTCATCAGTAGCTTCTCACTGGGACCAGGCCTCCCGTTGCCCTCCAGGATCTGGGTACTGTAGCTCCATGTGACCTTCTTAACCCTTTGTACTATGTTCCACCACAATGGCCTCTGTCTTTGCTTTGCTTAGCCAAACTTACTTTCACTTAGGCACATGGTCAGCGTTCAAAGTGATTTTTAAAACCAAATACTCTCATTAGGTGGATTGGCTGACCTGCATCTATCTATGTGTCTATGTATCTTTTTATTTATTTATCTATTGATCTTTCAAATCTGTGACAGCATCAGTAAATTCTGTAATTAGTCATACATATACATAGCATGCACTTAAAAAAATGAGAGTTAAAAAAAAACACCACTATGTGTATTTTCTCATTTTCTACAACAAATAATTATATAAAACAATAACTATATTTAGCTATAAACATATATATGTGGTGGATTTCTATGCACAAACTTATAAGGAGCTAATTTTTTAATAGACTGTTATAGAGCAATTTAAAGTTTGCAGATAAAATTTTCAGAAAGTAGAGAATTCTCATATACCACCTCCCTCTGTTATACTGTTTCTCTTATTATTAATATCTTGTATTCCTGTAATATGTTTGAACCAATACTAATAATTTATTATTAACTAATGTCCATAATTTACATTAGGGTTCACTCTTCATGATATATAAACTCATGGATTTTGCCAAATGTGTAATGTCCAAAACGGAATAGTTTCCCTGCACTAACAATACTGTGCTTACTCATCCCTCTTCTCCTCAATTCCCTGGCAACCACCGATTTTTAAAAAAATGGCTCTATACTTTTGCCTTTTTCAGGAAGTCATGTGGTTGCAATCATACAGTATATAGTTTTTTCAGCCTGGCTTCTTTCACTTTGCAATATACCTGTACTTGTTTTTTGTTTTGTTTTTTTAACTTATCAGAGACAAAGTATAAAAGTTTCCATTAGTAATTTGATCAGGAGGAAATACATCTTCCTTTTAGATGAAATCACCATAAAGCTGGCAGAATGAGGGCTTACACATAAGCAAACTTTTGGGAAGCATGAGGGGAAATTATTCAGAGCTGCACGAGAGGAAATGCAAATTCACAGGAATCTGACTCCAAATATTGAGTATCTCTTTGAAGAAATATACGTAAAATAGTTGATGTTTTTATAGTTGTCTGAAAAAGAGCACATTCTAAGTATATCAACTATTATTTTTCTGTCTATAAGAGGATTAATACCATATGAAAAATTTTAAATGAAGTTTCAAATCAGTTCTTGATATTTGATAAACTGAATATCGCTTCCCATAAGGCAGATGGACAAGGATAACATGTTTTATGAATTTTTAAATCATCATGTTTCATGAAGGAGCGCTGGAGGTACAGTAGGTGAACGCTTAGCTGCGAACCAAAGATGGGCAGTTCGAGCCCACCCAGCTGACCCACAGCCAAAAGACCTGGAGAACTGCCCTCAAAAAGATCACAGAATAGAAACCCTTTCAGTAGCTCTGCTTTGATAGATACGGTCGCTATGAGTTAAAGATGACTTGATGGCACTTGGCAACAACAGAAACATTTTATAATTAAGAAATGGAGTGGTTATTAGCATGTTCACTCATAGACTCAGGGAATTGTGAGGAAAACCCAACAGGAAGTAAATAAAAGAGTATATAAATTTTATGAATTATAACCAATGAATATTAAAAGAGAAAGTAACATCCTCAGAATGATTAGAACAACACAACAGAGATAAAATAGAAGATACGATGTCAACGAAAATAGTGAATTTTGGAAGGTTACATAACCAATTTCTTTAAAAAAAAAATGTATTATCATCTTCAATCTAATATAGTCAACTGTTGATAACCTAAAAATATTTTCTTGACTGATTACTTGAACTAATTCTATACCACTGAATATGACTATTCTTTATACTCTGAGGTCTGAAGTCTATCTATCTTTCTACACATAGATATTTTTTGAAGTCCCAATGATGTAATTTTCCAGGTATGATGTAATCATTGTAATAATACAGACACACAGACACACAGGGCCAAATTCATGGATGTGTGACCTGCACAGTGATACAGGGTCCAGGTCTTAGAAGTTTAGTATTTTGCTGTTGTTATCTTGAAATTCTTACTTATTTCTTAATCAGAGGTTTAGTATTTTCACTTTGTACTGTAAGTTCTCTAGCTGTTCATGAATATTCACATAGCGCTTCTGGTGTGGCCCTATAGAATAAGCACAGGACTGCAAGGTCAGTTTGAACCACAAGATTGGCAGTTCAAAGTCATCAGTCACTCCTTGGAAACCCTATACTGGGTTTCTATTAGTTGGAACTGACTCTGTGGTACTTAACAACAACAATAATACACATTGTGGATAGCAATGAATGTCTTGAAGAGATTGTCAGTCTGGTGGGGAAAACAGATGTTAAATGTATAATTTCAAGGATTAAGAGCATTATGTAAAGGAAAGGACAAGATGCTATTTGAACCAGGTAGTCTATTCCATTTTATACATTTTGAAACTGGGGCCCAAGAAAGATGATTTCACTTGTCCAATGGAGTAATAGCTCTTCGTGAATGACTTGTAATTCTAAATGAAGTCCGTTTGATTTTCAAGCCTGAATTTGGGACTGACTTTTGATTTTATCAAATGAATACTGAGCACTCAGTTATATTATTGTGTGTTTTCTTGTTGCAATCCTGAATAAACTTTAAATGCCGCAGAATGCTGAATTCCAGTTACTAATATTTAATTTCCAAGTTTGCAATTATATTCATGGTGTGATGTAAACATTGTAAAGTTATATTTTTTCTTCATATTTTATTAAACTCAGATTGGGGTATCTTTTCAGGCTATGTTAGCTTAGTAAATTGAATTCTGTTGTTTCCCCCAAAGTGCAAAGGTTTGAACACTATACAGGCTATTTGTTTCTGAAAAGCTGACTTGTT